TGAAATTTGACGGCCAGGTAGCAGAAAAGCTTGCATTAGATGGCACGCAGTGGCACTTCATCCCAGCCTACAGCCCACACATGGGTGGATTATGGGAAGCAGGCGTGAAGTCTATGAAGTACCACTTGAGAAGGATATTGACTTCCAACCTCACTTATGAAGAGATGACTACCCTGTTATGCCAAGTCGAAGCCTGTCTTAACTCACGACCTTTAAGCCCTATAGATAACTCGGATACAGACACTATATTGCCACTTACTCCTGGACACTTCCTGATCGGCGAAGCTCCAATCAATATCCCTCAACCTGACCTGAAAGATATACCTGTCAGTAATTTGTCGCGATGGCAGCACTTACAGAAGCTTATGGCTAATTTCTGGAACAGATGGCAACAAGAGTACTTAACTAGGCTACAACAAAGACCCAAATGGCTTAGGAAGATTATGGAATTTAAGATCGGAAGCATTGTTCTCATCAAATGTGATAATCTTCCACCTGGTAAATGGATGTTGGGTCGAATTGTGAATAAACACCCAGGTCCTGATGGAGTGACTAGAGTGTATAGTGTTAAAAGTGGTGATAGTGTAGTGCAGAGACCAACCATCAAATTGTGCCCTTTACCAATAGATTTAGATTAGTACATCTTTCATTATTTAAAATCATAAGTTATGTTAAATCGCTAATTCGTGCATGCATTTATGTATTTAGGCTAAGTATTTTTGAAGTTATTATTATCATGTTGTAAGTTTTTTTTTGTTAAATTTTAAATATATGTTATTTAACTTATTTCAATCAGGTAAAATGTAATTAGATACACAGTAAAAATTGTTAATGAAAGGATTTTGTTTATCATACTTAATGTAATTTAAATGTGTTAAGTATATTTATGAAAGGACTTTATAAGCCCTTTGGTGGGCGGTATGTTCGATGTAATACGTATATTTATGTGTGCGCGAGTAAGATGTACGGTATGCATGTGTGTGTAACCATTTATTATAGAAAAAGTTGTTTTTAAAGTCAGTTGCAAATAAACCAGCGTACTATTGACACCGTATTTCTGTTACCAATCCCTACAAAGAAAGTGAACCTTATTACCAAAATCCAAAATGTCCCTTAAATTAAGTGGAAGTATTATCCGGGCAGCGGTCTTTTGATCTTCATGACGGAATTTCAAGGGTATTTCATTAAAAGATGAAGAAATTCATAAAATTATTCACCAAAGACGAAATATTCGGAAGGTTTTATGTATGTGTGTGATAATTTTTAATTTTAAAATTTTTGTTAAATACCCGAGCGGAGCCGGGGCGGGCCGCTAGTTAGATATACATCTGAACTTGTAGTTCGGTCCCGCATCAAGAGATGGCGCTGTCTCACGAGGAGACTGATGACTCTATATTAATAATGTACTCTTTGTTAAAATCCATTCAGTAGTAATTTGGTGAAAGAGTAACAAATCCACACATACAAACTTTCCCGATTCTAATATTAGTAAAGATAAATTTGGGCATATCTTCTAACCCTTTAACGAGCAATTCTTGTATATATAATCTCTCGGGATCTCGGAAACGGCTCCAGAGATTTTCATGAAATTTAGTATGTGGGTAGATTCGGGGGCAAAAAATCGATCCAGGTAGGTTTAATTTTTTAGAAAATGTCCTTCCCTGTTTTCAGGGAATGAAAAACATTATTCGAATATGGCGGTAAATTTCGCCGCAAAAAAAATGCTATAATAGCTCGGTCGGTAATCGGGCAGCCCCAAAACAGATGGCCGCGGTTCGTATCACGATCATTTACACACTTTTTAGGATTTCAGATCATTGCTTTCTTTATTTTAAATTTTTTGTCGATCCAGATGATTTTGTTCTTTTTTCCCTTTTTTTTAAAGTTATTTCTTTTGTGAATAACACCAGTTCATATTTTCTTATTATTACGTCGGTAAGATCGAGAAATATTATGCATATTTCATTACTCAGTAATTTGTATTTAAATGTAATTTCCAAAATACACGATTTACAAAAAAAAATCGAGCAAAGTCCTCCAGGTACTTATGAAATTAAAGATGATCATTACACATCAGAAATAATATCACGCAATTAGTTGACTGCGGTGTTGGCTACAGTTCGCGATAGAAGCTGTAGATAAAATTGATCAGAGCGACCTGCAAAACCATACTTTTTTCTTTACTATCCTCGGAACACAAAAACTTCTAATGTGAAGGTCCCTCAGAGTAGGTATATTTATACAATAATTTACAAACATAAACTAATTAAAGGATAGGTATATTCCAATAAAAGTGGAGGTGTCTTCTTCCTTTGTAATATCATACTCGGTAAGCAGCCCAAGTTTCAAAAGGTTGTCAACGCATCTGTAACCCTTGAGTGTGGCAGATGTCCATGGGCGGCGGTATTCACTTCACATCAGGTGAACCGTCTGCAAAAGAAGACTTTCTTTGAGATGTATTTTTAAAAAATTATTCAAAAGAAATAAGAAACCAAAGATTTGGGATTACACAATGTATTAGACAATACGCATTTACTAAGATCAGACAGTGCAATCAAAAAATATTTTTGCACGCGGCCATGCAAATGGCCTGCTCGGTTCGTCAGGGGAGGAGGGCTGCAGCGTCGCCGGAGGGGTTCCGCCGCTCAAGGTGAACCGCGACACGGCGCGCGCCTAAAAATAGCCGCATAGGATCAAATAAATAGTGTAAATAAAACTTGGATTTACCCAGGCTGGCGAAAGTATGCTCTTGCTCCTTGCTCATTTGCTCTTCTCAATTATTGTCACCGTTATTGCCCGGAAGGGTTCGAGTGCTGTTAGTCATTGCATAGTTTCTAATGTGACAGATGTCTGTTAGCAAACTGTTTTTAGAAGGGATCATTATATTGTAAAGTCAATTCCTATTCTATAATTAAAATATATATATATATATATATATATATATATATATATATATATATATATATATATATATATATATATATATTATAATTTAATATAATTATACTGAATATAAAATACGGCATAATTCTGTAAAAGTACATCATTGGTAATTTTTGATTCACAGCAAGACACTTTTTTGTGTAGTGTAGACAATGAGCGTAGTTGCCGAGGGCAAAGTATGCAATCCTTACTTCCTTACTTAATCCTTACTAATATTATAAAGGCGAAAGTTTGTATGTATGGATGGATGTTTGATACTCTTTCACGCAAATACCACTGAATGGATTTTAATGAAACTTTACAATAATGTAGCTTATGCATCAGAATAAGACATAATCTATAATTTATAAAGATATTGTGCGAATTGTCCAAAATATAGGTAATGATAAGTGTCATCTAAGTAGGTAAAAACGGTCATCCGCGAGATATTCTGTTGCATAATAAAAAACTCATTATTTTTTTAAATCATTACAATACATGAAAATGTTCCATCAAATGACTACAAAAAAAAATCAAAAAATCAAAATTATTTATTCATCGACATAAGAAACATACATTTCATCTATCGATAGTAATTTTTTTAATCTTTCACCGTTTCGTAATGAGATTCCTTTAATCCTTAATCTAAAGAAGTAATCCTAAAAGAAAGTAATCCTAAAATGTAATAATTGCAAACGTAGAAGCGGCTTTAGGTGTGTAGGCGACGTGTGCCAAATTTATCTGACATTTTAGCACATTATTATTATTGGTTAGGTGCATACATATGTTTGTAGGTGACGTTCCACAAAAACCCCGTCAAGTCAAGGTGCCACGAACAACGTATAGGATGAGAAAACAAATAAATGTTTACTACGAACATTACAAAATCCATTAGTCAAAATTAGCATTCTCAAAATTAGTCTAGTTGTCAAGAATTGCTCACGTTTAGATTATTTCTATAGCTAGCGTGTCCTGTGTAAATGATAGTTCTTCTTTCAACTTTACAAGTTGTGAAACTAAATGTTGTATTAAGCAGCCTTCAACAGCAGTTGGACCGGTAATATTTTGTACAATCATAGTTTTTTTAATAACGGTGTAATATACGTAGCAAAAGCTACTGTACAGACAGTTTTTATATAAAGTTTCTGAAAGTACCGAACATTGTAAATGTTTGCGTTGGATATTCGCACGCAACAACTCGAGTCTCTAGAAACATTTTTGTAGTGCTCGTGTTTCTGAAAGTACTTTGTGATAATCGTGTATTAGGCAGATTGCACCATCGATGGTATGGTGAGTGGTCACTTTTGCTTAAGTGTTCCCCTTACACATTACACTGCATACGTTTCCCTTTACACATTACACTGTTCACTCGTTAGACACTGGCATTAGATATGGAAGGAGTCATACCTCGTTATTTAGATTTTATCAAACGATACATAAAAAATGGAACATCATTAAAATGACTTGAAGCGAATCTCTTTAATTCAATTTGTCATTAGACGTTCAACTGGGTGATGTTGGTATAATAACTTTTCATCATAAGCAACATAACATGGTCACTAATCGGAACTTAATGTTGTGAAATCTAATGAGGGAAACACGTTTAACATTCAAGCGATTTGTAAGGTTCCTATTGGCACCTGTTATCTATGGATTTATGACTACCTACTAATAATCTGAGGGACGAATGTACATTCGATATGAATTACTCATAACATTTACATACCTTTGACAAATCATCTTTTTATAAGCAATCATTGTAATTATTTTTCAAATAATAAATAATTATTAAAATTTACTTCATCTATTCACATTTACGTATTTTCATTTGTAAATATTACCTAGCTCAGTCCGGTGTCAAAAGTTTTGAATATATTTTATTACAATATGTTAAATAATCAACGAGATTAATAATGCACAATTTGATCTTTACTAACAAGTACGTGATTCGCAATCTAGCATAGAATTGTAACTAATAATTCATTATAAATTTTATCTAAACCTTAACTTATAAAATGTGGGTCAACTGACACAAATAAATTGGATGTTATCACTGGCACATTATACAAGGCGTTTCGATGGAATTGACCGATCTATCGCGGCCTCACCGGGCGGTCGGCTCACGTGACACACACAAGCAGACGCGTGCAAGCGCCCGGGCACCTCACGACCGACTGGTGGCCAACTGGCCACAGCTGGTCAGCTGCCCGGTGCCCTGCCCGCGACGGACCGCGGCCATCAAGCATCGCACGTCTTGCTCGGTGTCGCTCCACGTGTCTTTTCTCAGCTATGCCAATAGCTTCTGTCGTTGGCCTCACCCGCGCAGTTTATAAGTTTCCAAAAATGCAGTAAACGTTTAGTATATGATTATTCTCTATCTCCACTTCGATTTAATATTAATAGTGTATAATTTGTGAGCATATCGATTTAAGCAAATAAAAAGTAATTACATTTACGGGAAAGGCAATTATTTGTTTTTTTACTCGATCTAAAGTTTTTAGAAGTTCAATTGTACCTTAAAAATTGGCAGCCGCGACTCGCGATGTCGTAGTAACTGATGAGTGTACGCGGAGCGTCGACCGCTCCTAATTAATCTGGGAGCCCGCAGCCATTGTCGTGTCAAGGGAGATGCATCTCGCGCCGCCGCGCCGCCTCCCGCGTGCTTGGCGTTCCTAGCGACCACTCGGATATTACCTATTCGTCATGCTTAGGAGCATAATGGTATCTGTTTGACTTTACAAACACATGTCAGATATCATTTAAGCTTATACCTAACGGCTATCGTTATAAGCGTGGAATAAGTATACAAAAAACTAATGGACTATTGCCTACTACAAGTTATGAACCACTCGAGCAATATACCGCTGGCCTACATTCATACATATTAATAATTGACGAAATAAAATTAATGTAACGTAAGTTTTTTGTAATTATATATATATACATAAGTATAATATGTATAATAGCTGCATAACGCATGACACACAATTGAGAAAAGCTGTGATTAGAAATATTGTGTACATATGGTATAATAAATCTTGTGTTAGATTGTGTAATGGAATCATAAAGAAACATAAATCAAACTGTTTAAATTATTTCGAAAATTATCTCTCCCTCTCCTCGAACCTATTCTAAAGGAATTCGCGTTTATAGCCTCATTTAGTTTATCGCTACTTAAAGAACGTTTTGAGACGCGAACATCAAAACCAAACTTGAGGCACTTACCAAGAAACTCTGTGACAGACAATTGGGGCCTTTATAATTGGTTCACGATTGATTCTCAATTGAGCAATGTTAATAGTGCTCGCCTGCCGCTAACATTCCAATGCGACTTACCATCAAACGAACGAAGAACTATCGGGGAATCGGACCGAATTCCGAGAGGTCGGACGGTGCGGAGTTCAATTTAACACAAATTGACATATTCTCGTGGATAAAGCTATCATTTTCATGAAATTAATCCCACAGAAACAATTTCTTCTTATTTATGGTTAACCTCTTTCAGTACTTTTTTTTATATCAAAAGTTGCCAAACCAGCAGACGGTTCACCTGATGTTAAGTGAATACCGCCGCCCATATCTGCTAAACCCATCTGCAACGCATCTGCTACACCCGAGGGTTGACAACCTTTTTGAAAATTAGGCTAAGGCCACCTCACTCACCAGACGAAACGCGAAAGTATTATACTTCCACTTTTATCTGTTTATATTTTTTTAAATATTTTCGTAGCACTTTCCTTTTCAAGATTCAGGAAACGAATAAACGTATTTGTCCCACATTCGTATTTATAGAGTGACGAATTGCACAAATCAGTGCAAGGTAGCGAAGCTCTGAGACTGCAACTGTCAGGTTTTTACAAGTTCAAAATGTATTGCGACTACAAAGCGAATACCAACATCCTACAACTTACACAATTTTATAAACATATATAATAATTTTTTTACTTCATAGGTACTTTTATAAATAATGTATATGTTTTGATATTATAAGATAGTATGTTGTAAGTAAATAGGTACTATCAATGTATGTGTTGAGATCCACTATCGTGGACCCCCATTTTCATTTCATGGACCCCCAAATTTTTTTTTCGCTGACGTAGACCCCTTGCAGGTTGTCATAGACCCCTAGGGGTCGATATAGACCACTTTGGGAATCACTGGGCTAGAGCGACAGGCCGCGAATGCCGAAGACATGGGTTCGATTCCCACAGCGGCGACAATCTTTTCGTACTTTTTCTACATATTTTAATGTTTGAATTGATATTTTTCTGATTATTTCGTGTCAAAATAAAATATTCATATTTTTTTTGAATTATGGGATGCGCAATTAACATTATGTCAAAGTAAATACTTATAAATGTAAGTGTATGTACTTCGTCTAAAAATCAACCTATATAGCATTTTTTCGCACAAATCTTCAATGTGGTTCTTTAAGTAGATATAACTTTATTATTTATGAACCAATTTAAATAAAACTAAATGTTAAGTGAAGCTTATTACAATGCATTAGTGAATGTTGCTCCTAAATCGGTTAAGCCGTTTCTGAGAGCACAAACGCAACTCACACAAACAGATAAACAGACAAAAATGTAAAATAAGTCACTGTTTTGGGTTCTATTGCGTTCATAAAGGCCCCCAATAATATTTTTTCTCAAATATCTTCCAGGTACAGACAAGGGTCAGTTATATTTTTATTATATGTATGGATAGAAATCTTATCAATACACAAATATCACATCGGTAGATGCCCCATCCGGAAAAAATATCTCACATATAATAATTTGTCTAATGCCGAATTTAAACACACGATCGACGTGAACACTGTGCCTGCCCAAACAAATTTAAATTTGCATTTGCAAAAGTTTTTTCTTTACGTAACGATTTAATTTAACGTACATTTCTCTCATAATGAAGTGGAATAAAGAGACAACTATTTTTTATTGTTAACCGACTTTAAAAGGAGGAGGTTCTGAATTCGACTGTATTTTGTTATGTTTGTTACCTCAGAACTTTTGACTCAGGGAACCGATTTTGTTGGTTCTTTTTTTGTTTGAAAAGTTGGTGCCATTCCCATGTGGTCCCATATTCATTTCATTGGTATCGGATCTTGGGTTTCGGAGATACTTATGGAACTCTTGAAAATCGATTATAATAGGTTTTGTTGTTAAATGTTTCAAAACGTGATTCAGCTTTGTGAGAGTTGAAACCCATTCAATCAGCTTGTGCGAAGAAAGTGTTCGGGGCCCACGCGGTGGTACGTGGCTGGTGGCGGCCACGGCGGCGTGCGCCGAGGCGAGGTCGCGCCCGAGACGTCACCGGCTGCCGCCGCCGCAGGGCCGCACTCGCAGCCAGAGAAAAATAATACATTTTATACGGAGATGTTACAGAGCGTTGTTTATTCGCTTCTGCATTTATTAAGATTCGGGCCATTTCAAAGTGCAGCATTATTTACAATTTTGGACGGAGAACGTAATACTGAATCATGAAGGCATAAGGATTGAGCTAACAAATACGCTGCTTATTTTTGTATCGCTTGAAAACCGGCTCTGCACGTATTCGCGTCTGAGGTAGCGGCGGCCGGGGCACGCGGCAGTACTCCACCGCGCCTCCTCCCGTCGCCGAAGGGATTGTTCGGGATCTGGTGGAATTTTCCGTCTATTACGAACTCAAAAATCAGTGATTGGCTCTGAGGTTGTCGGTTATGAGAAACGCTTAAAAATTACAATGGACGCTCATTGTCCTCCTCCAATTTACCACCGTACCCAGAGGAAACAGTTGTTTCAAATCTTGTTTAATTATGAATAGTAGCCAATCAGACGCTTCGACCTCCACTGATGACATGAAGGTATGCATTTAATACGATCACGAACTTAAATTTTGTTGTTGATGTTATTTGTTATTTTGAAGTTGATGTAATTTGGGTTGCACTGTTGTCTGAGTCCTGGTTAAGACTCAGAGACAACGAAATAATTGATAATTGTACAGAGGTTTTAGTTTGCTTATTATCGAACCTCGTTGCAGTATCGTTTTATCTTGTTAGAATATTAATAAAACTAATTTTAAAGGGACTTTTCACGTATTACTTTGATTTTAAGACATCTATCGTTTCGAATGCTGTAGGCAGAACATACGTGGTCACGAGCTGGATTTAAATCGGGCGTCCTGGTGTTTCTGAATTTTAAAACAGAAAGATTTCTATATTTATCTAAAATGTATTATTTCTAAGTCTCGTTCTCCTTTCAAATTTCAAGATATCAATAAAGGCCTGTCAGCTGCTAGCCTAGTCTAGAGCAAGTTTAAGCTTTCAATATATAATTTCAAACTTCCGCAGTTTCTTATTCCAAGAATCCCAAAAATTCAAACGATCCCTTACCTGATACGTAACGTAGCTGACTGACGGCTAGCGTCCGTACTCCGTACATCCATCTCCTCACATCATTACAGGAAAATCGACAAGGTTTTGTAATACCTAACAAAGGCTCGAGTTAGAATTGTGAACCACCTAAGAAACATGATTCAGGCGCTCACTTATGTTCTCATTACTAGGCAACGCGATCAGTCAATATAAAAATAAAACTGTGTATGTCAACGAAGCTTCCCGACCCCATTACTTTAAGTTTTCAAACTTAATGGAGAAGAACTCGTTTTAAAATTATACTTCCTTACTGCGTAATGGGTACCAGGAAAGAAGGAATAAAATCATCAAATAAATTATTGTTTTCGATTGTTGTGGGGTTTGAATGGATGTAATGGATAATATTCTTATATAACATTCTGATACATTTAAAAGTTTTTTAGTTTTTTTACTTTATTTTACTTCGAACTCGCAGATTCACAAATAATTAATACTAAATTTAAACCTATAATTTATACAATAACGTAGGCGTGGCCAAATTTAAGTCCAGTTATCTAGTCTAGGTATCTGGATACCAAAAGGCAAAGTCAGTTTAACGATTTGAGGGCTCTCGCGCCCGGTTTCTGAACACTGTTCATCGTACAAATTAAACACACAAATGGTTTCTCAAATGTCATGATGATCAGTGTTTCAGAAACCGGGCGTCAGAGATGCAAACTAATAATAAGAAACTACGTATTGACGGGCGCACCAATATTTTAATGTTTGGTTTTTGCTTTCATCTAATGAAAACGGAGCTGATGGTTAGGGGGGACAAACATTAAGGATAAGCCTGTCGCGAGGCATGCAATCTAATAAGTTTGGAACTTTTTTGGGTACATCCTTTCAAGCGAAGGTGATGGATTTGGATTGCAGGGTCGACCTCTCTGCCTGTACTACTTCACGCACCCTTTCGGCGTGCTGTCACCGGAGCCACCGCGCGTCGCGGCCACATTCGCGGCGGCACCGGCGGACGGCGCCGGCGTGGTGAGCGTGGCCGGTGCGCGCTACACCCTCGACCTGGGTGCCGGTTTCCCCGCCACCTCCTGGTTCCCGACGCCCTTCCCTGGCGACATGTGGTCATCACCAGGGGCGGATGTAGGGATGGGGGCGCGGTGGCCCGGCGGGCGCCTTCTGCCGCCGCTCCGAGTGGCGCGCCCGCCCCCGCCCAGTGTCTGGACCCGCTCCTCGTGCACCGGCAGCGGCAAGCGCTCGCTGCCCCCGCTATCCGCCGCCCCCTTCCCGCCCAGCGCCCCCTCCACGCCGCCCCGCGACCGCGCTCCCCGCCCCCGCACCCTCGCGTTACGCAAGCTCGGGCGCGGGCAACGGAAGACCATAAAAGGTACGCAGCAAGATTTTTAACGGCTTACCATCTGATGTAAGGTAATTACATCAATCTTCAGGTTGAAATTGTTTAAGCGCCTCTAAGAGGCTAGACCTCAGTTATTTCTAGTGACTCCTTCGCAATATCATTCGTGGAGAAATTGAAGAGTGAAGGTGGGAGACATGGTTCTTGTATAACACCTAATGGGAAGTGTGACCTCCACTCTATAGCGAAGAGAGTTTTAAAATAAAAACGTCATAATGGTGCAAACGAGTCTAATTGGTACTTACATTGAGTGCGAACAGTTCGTAAAAGGCTAATCGAGAAATGACTTTATTAACTTGTCTTAACTTCATCAGTAGCTAGCTTTATTGTTCATATACATACAGTACAAGCATTGTTTAGTTAGGAACTAGAAAACGTTTTGTAAAACGAATGTGTCCTAAAATATTTATTATTATTTTTAAAACTCAATGATCATTTTTATATTTGCACTGTGGTCCCATTTTTATGTAGAATCAAATTGTCTATGTTTAACCTCCATGACAGGACGCTCTCCTTATGACAATTTTCTTGTGACTTAGAACAAACTTCATTGCAAACGCCTGTTTAAGTAAGTGTACCAAAGAGAATGTAATCACTACGTTTAGAAGTGTACAGTTACAGATCAGTTAAGAGTTAAGTATCAGTTACAGATCAGTTAAGAGTTAAGTGTCAGTTACAGATAATTAATTAACTGTATTTATTTTTGTTCATTTCGAAACCTACGCCATCTACAAAAGTATTAAAATTTATTACAAATAAGAATTGCAAATTGTTCCATGGAACAGAAACAGATGGCGTTTTTACATGATTTTTTTGTAGTCTAATCATGAACAATTTTAGTAATTTAGTACCTGCGTTGGTTTATTATTTTGCACAACACGAAATTTGTTTGTTATGTGTCTGTAAAATGATTATGATTATCACCGTTTTCGTTTATTGTTAGAATCTTTTAGATGCGGATGTAGAGATCATGTATGGAGAGGGTCATAGGTTGAAGCTTTCCGAAGCTTTAACATTAAACGCTATAAAAAAAATTAATTTTTGTATTATAATTGACAAAAAATGACAAGCTTTAGATACATATAATGTAACTTATGTAGCGTATATTTTTTAAGATATCTATTGTTTTAAAAACTTCTTAAATCTGGGAATAAAATAGTGCTCGTGCAATCCTCGATTTTTCCCTTAATCGACTATGGTATATAAAAGTACCTAAGTATTAAGTGAATTTAAGATAATAAATAATCATGAAGAATAAAAAATTAAACACGTTAAGTAAAGAATATACAAAAAGAGTTATTTCTATGCTTAGTCAAGAAATAATTTTATGAAAATTAGCTCCGAGACTTCGTCTACGCGGGATTAGTTCTTCGAGTAGCTTATTTTCTTCTCCAAGGTCCTATCTATCTTTCTTTATACCAAAATTCATCAAAATTGGTTCTGCGATTTAATCTTGAAGCCATAAAAGACAGAGGTAGTTTGAGAGACCGTTCCTGTGTGTTATTCTGGTGTGTTGTATAAGTTATTTTATTGTAGTTTCATTAAAATCCATTCAGTAGTTTTTGCGTGAAAGAGGAACAAACATCCGTACACCCATACATACAAACTCTCGCGCTTATAATATTAAGTAAGGAATATTGTGATTTATTGATGACGATCTAAGATTCTCAATAATTTATATGTTTTGTTTTAACGTAAGGTATTTTCCATTTTTCTTCCATGTATAACGTTTGATAAAATTCACGGCAGGTTACAATTAATTATTTTCATGTGTGCTCGCTAATTAACAAAAGAATGACTTCGAAGAAATAATTCATAAAATGTGACAATCTAACCAAAGAAATAATATTTTGCAATTCATAGTTGTATGTGTTATTTCATGGTGGTAGGGCCACGCAGCAGCCTCGGCTATTGCACGAATTGGCAGGCCCGTCCGGGTAAGTACCACGACCTCACAGAAGACCAGCGTAAAGTGGAAATATGACAAATACTTTCGCGATTCGTTTGAGTGAGGTAGCCGGAGCCCAATTCTCAAAAGCTTGTCAACGCATCTGTAATCCTCGGGTGGCAGTATTCACTTACCATCAGGTGAACCGTCTGCTCGTTTGGCAACTTTTCACATAAAAAATAATAATTAAGTTAGTGACCAAGCAGTTCACTCTTAAATGCTCATTAACATGCACGTATCTAGAAAATCTTTGGACTGTCTGAAACATCACTTACCGCATGCCCTCTTCTTTGCCCCCATATTACTTACAACAAAAGATGGAAAAGAAAATAAACCTAATGTGATAACGGTCGAACTATTCTGTTTAATATGTCGTTCGTTTTGCGTGTGGTTCGAACATTGGGTTTGTACGGGATGCGGGCTGCGGGTTCTTAAATATTGTGGCTCTGGTATTGTCAGCGAGCAGGAAAACATTTTCTCTGTCACAGGATTTAGGATTTCTTTTGGCCATACCTCGGTGGCCACCCAACCCATAGTGCGTTTGACGTATGTATTACATACATCTGAAATTTGAAACTCTTCGTTCGCGGCAAAAACGATGATGCAATGGTTGTTCCGCGGTGGTTGAGTGGCGGTGGTGGCGATGGCGGTGGTTCCGTTGGCGGGGCTGGGGGGCCGGGTGGTGGTGGGGGCGGAGGGAGGCGCATGTCGCCAGTGGGTCTCTGCCGGCGCCACGCGACGCACGCCGCGCCCGCGCCACTAGCGCTCGCATTGCTCGGGAGCTCCCGCACGAGAGGCGACCGGGAACACGCCTGTGAAATCCCCGCTGGGAGTCGAACGCGGTTCCGGGGTCGAAGTCTCGCGCGACGCCCGAGTAGTTGTCAGATAGAGACGTCAGTTGTCATCGCCCAACGCACAACGCACAACGCACCCCCGCCACCACCAGCCGGCAGCCGCTCACGAGCTACGAAGTCAGTATCGATTACCCACACACACCTGCTCCAATATTTACGAAATGGTTTGGGTTCCTTCTGCTAAGAGGCATTGCACTCCAAATTGTATATTGAAAAGGCAAAATCTGTTCTGCTTAAAGAAAGCAGATACAATTTATTTACAGTATGTAAAACCGTAAATATAAGTCATTGAAGATGGTAATTCTAAAAATTGCGAATATATTATATTCGATGGTATATTTATGTGTATAACTACATGAGTAGACCATATAAATTAATTATAATTTAAAATTGCGTTGCTTAGTTAAATTACCATGAGACTTGCATTTGTTGCGGCAGTCAGCGGAAACTGACATTAACAGTCAGTCTTAATCAGAATCTTGATTATTAATGCTAAAAAGTTTCTTGAAAGACAATGGAAAAATCAAACGAAATAACAAATGTTGTATGCAAATACGTCAGAACTTAAGTAACGATGTGCTGCACCAGCTAAAATAGTCATTATCTGCAGTTCACTTTAGGGCAGAAAATTTGCCCTGCAGCAGTGCAGTGTATAATTCTTCTCAGCGACCAGAAGTTTACTGTAGGGCGCAAAGGATGATGACAAATAGACAAAAAGGATTTTTCCACACTCTCAATCACAACAGAACTGTTAATGTTAATTGGTTCTCGGTCTAAAAAAACTCTCGGAACTCTACTCTCGTGTTGATCTCTCGTGATGACAAAGAATTTGTGTGATATACCTACTATTAATTATTGAAATTGGAAGTCTTGGTGTTCTGTGCGTCTGTGACTTCAAGATTATGAATTCGAAATTTACCGAAAGTTTCATTTCAATAATGACATGTCTCTCACCACTGTCAGGGGACACACTCTAAAATCAATAAATATCAGGGCTTAAAGGGATAAAAGTTCGGAATTGCCAAACATGTACAGTATTATTAATTTGGACTTTTGAAAGTTTTTACAATGCGGTCTCTCTTGATCGCTGATTAAAAATTGGGATTTTATTAAGTAAAAACAAAAAGTATTTTTCCAAACGTCGCTCATCGGTTATGTTCGAAAAACCAAAGATAAACTCGCTGAAATATATACTTACGTTAGCTCAATCCCACTGACGTGCCGGGAGCCTTCGGGGCTTACAAACGCGCCGCTGGTGAGTCACGCGCCCTTCTTGGCTCTTGCCATTCGGGTCCCAATCACAACGCTCGCGGCTTGCACTCGGCCATTACCAGTGGCCAAGCACATTTGCTTTGATTAAAATCAGCTGTGGCGGCACTTTAAGGCTGGCCTTCAGCGGCTGAAGTGCCCTACACAACTGTCTCGTTTCGACAGCACAAGTACTATTATGCAAAATGCGGCACACGTTCGGCATTATAATTACATAACTAATTAGGAGTACACGTAGAAAACTGATAACTTTTAACAATATGTGTACATAAATAAGAAAATGACGATAAAATCATTAAATACAGTTTTTTTAATTGCACAGTATATACCAAAATACAAGAAATATTTCATTATTAAAAAAATAAAAGAGGTTACAAAATCAAATAGAAACGCGTCTAGAATATACTCTTACTTGGCATGTCTTCGATACTCTGCGTATAGCCTAAGTAAATTTTATATGTTTTTTATTTATCTCTCACAAGGCAACAATAAAGTTTGGCCAGATAACTTATGTCTTTGTTAAAAAACAATCAAGCGAACTTCTAAGGATTCCTTAAAAGCCAAGGTTCCAGAATTAAGTGCACAAACAGGCGGATAGACTGAGGGGACGTTATGCGGTATAATACTTTTAAAGATACAATTAGTGAGGAGTGAAGAGTCGAGTCGAGGCAGTGAGTCAGCGCGAGGGCAGTGTACATTCCGCGCACTGCATAATATGTGCGTACTGGTTTGTTTGCGGCCGGGGAACTAGCTAGCGTAATACCCACGTGAATAGTGCACCAGCTTTAGAATCAAATGCACACAACTGAAGGTTACTGCTCGACAGCTTTCCATGCTATGTATAAATTCAGGCAATGATAATTTTTGCCCACAAATAATATTTAGGAAACATCCATTACTCGGCGAATTAATGAAACGCGAAGACATATTATGTTAATGGTTAAAACTGAACACTACCTCAACCTAGGTATCCCTGGCTACAGGTATGTGACAATAATTAATAATTGAAACAATTGATATAGTCTGTAAAAACTGATATAGTCTGTAAAAATCGACAGGATATAGTGGCACGCTCTGTCGAACGTTCTATTGAATTATCCTGCGTTGAGAGTCAACAGTATATTATAGTATGCGTATACCGGCCCCCCTCAGGTGATTTCGATCAGTTTGAGTGCGTAATGGATGATGTTCTTAAAAAACTATGTTCAAGTAGTAAATCATTAATAGTTTGTGGAGATTTTAATGTGGATTTATTACAAGTAACACAACTCAGTAAACGACTTTTAAATTTATTTAACTCATTTGAACTTAAAAATCTTTTTCATGAACCAACTCGTGTTACTAACTTATCCTCCTCACGTATAGATAATGTATTCTGTCACAATGATGTATATGATAAATATGTTATAAATCATCTGAGCTCGGATCACTTTGGGCTAAAATTTTCAATAATGAAAAAGCTAATACAAGCAAACTTAAGATCAAGTGTAGACCAGTCACTACTAATAGAATAAATGCTTTTAGAGATAAAGTGGCACATCATATGTTAAATAAAGATATAGGAGTCAATAACCCTAATGATTCTTATAGATCAATGGTTGACTTTCTCATATCTTTTTATAATGATACTTTTAAATCGCGCACAATTGTTAAGAATTCAAAATTAAAATTAAGTGACTGGGCAACAGTGGGTATATACAAAAGTAGGGATTCATTGTTTGAATTATATAATATGAGGCAGTGGAATCACGATCCTAACTTCCTTAAACGGGTACAAACATTTTCAAAAATATTTAAAAAAGTCTGTGTTCAGGCAAAATCTATTTATATAAGAAATAGCATAATAAATTCAAACAATAGAACTAAAGCCACATGGGACATCATTACCCGTATATCTCGAAGAACCAAGACATTCAGGGAACCTATAAAACTAGTTATAGGTAATACTCCCATAATATCAGATAACGAAATTGCGAGTAGTTTCGAAAGCTATTTTTCAGACATTGCGGTTAATGTTACACGTACATTAAAATCATCTCCCGCAGACGCAATTAATGTTTTAAAAAATAATGTTACCCCTTGTCTACACACAAAAAAGAGCTTTCCGAGCAATCTACAATATCGGAGCCCGGAATTCACTCAGAGATCTTTTCAAAGAGGTTAATATACTCACTGTTGCTTCTCAATACATTTATTGTAATGTTTTGTATATACGTCATAACTTTAATTATTACCTAAAGAATAGTGACAGACATAAAATAAACACTAGAAATAAGGACAAACTTACTACGCCATTGTTTCGTCTACAAAACGTAAATAAGTCGTTCATGGGGCAAAGTGTGCGCATGTATAATAAAATCCCACAGCGATATTAAGTCTGCCGCTTGACCAATTTAAATGTAAAATTAAAAATCAACTGATGATTAAAGCATATTATACCATTTCGGAATATCTCGACGACGCCAATGTGTGGAGTTAATACTGTTGATACTCACGTAGGCTAGAATAAGACTATTATACCTGTATATTATATTGTACCCTGATATTTTTGAAAAAGAGCAACTGTTGAGTTTCTTGCCGGTCTCTTTTCAACAGAAACCGCTTTCCGAACCGGTGGTACCTTACGAACGTATACACATAATCTTTGATGTAAAATTTGACGATTCATAAGAGCGCGCAAGCGTCTATTTGAATAAATATATTTTTGATTTTGATTTTTTTGATTTTTGTATTATTACACCAATACCGATTTTACAACTGATCCTTGGCGGTGCCATTCAATACATATATTTTAATGTTTAGTTTGTTTTTCAATAACATCAAATTGTTATAAAAATATGAACATAAGTTCTGATAGGTCAAGTAAGGAAACAACGTTGTGGACCTTGCCACGTTGATTCACACCGCCTGAACTTGTTGGCACCAGATGCAAAACAAGGGGAACCGGATATTCATGCTTTTGTAGCCACACGTTGCATATTTTATAGACGGAAATTTTATGAGCATTATACCTACGAACAAGATCGGGTATGGTCTATAATGCGTGAGTGGACATGGATATTCATCAAGCCCATGGCCGACTCATGACGAACTATGCAGTGGAAACAAATCACACGCTTAAATTTTTCACCCTTCTAATTCGCTTCTCTTCTTTCACGATCATCTAATTATTGGAATTGAAATTATTATATTATTACATATCTATTAAAGAATTTAACTTGTAAACTGTTCATTGCTCGCTTAAGGAAATACGCAAAGCCGTCCCGCAGAAGGTCTTTAGCCGCTTGGTCACCGTACTGGCTGTGACCTAACCGTGCCACGACTATTCCTATATCAACAGCCAATGCGTCAGCAGCCGGTGCCATTAACCCTGAATTAATACGAAAAAGTGATTAAGTCAAATAATGTACGAAAGGCAACGCTGAGCCGTGGCGGCAGCCTGAGCGGGGCAAGATGGCGCAGTGGCGGAGGTCGGACCAAGGTCCCCGACGGCACTTCACACTAAGCGGCAGGCGAGGGGCGAGGGGCGAGGGGCGAGGGGCGGGTCCACGCACTGCGGCGCCTAATATTACTCGTTCTTTATAATAAAGAAGCCTTTTGTTGCTGTGTGGCGCAGTTGCCAAGGTATCGGCGTCGGCGGTCGTGGGTTCGATTACGAACGGGACAACTATTTGTGAAACCTACAGATAATTGTTTCGGATCTGGGGGTATAAAGTTCTTAAAAGACAGGATAACTTTATCCTACAGTAAGGTAAATGCTTATAACAGAATTAGCAAAAAAAAAAACAACGAACATTTTGACGCTTCACCGACCGCCCGTTCGATTTTCGAATTATAATTCGAGTTTTATACATATTTTCCACTCTTCTGCTATGGTGATTAAAATAAAAAAAAAGCTTAAGAAAATCTTATGAATTAAAAATGTATAATTCTTTAAGACAACGTGAAGAATTTTGCTGTTGCACGAATGGGCAGGCTCTTCCGGGAAAGTACCACGACCTCATAGAAGACCGTAAAATGGAAGTATAATACTTTCGCGGTTCGTCTGGTGATTGAGGTAGACGGAGCCCAATTTTCCAAAGGTTGTCAACCCATCTGCAACCCTCGGGTGTAGCGGATGTCCATGGGCGGCCATATTCACTTAACATCAGGTGAACCGTCTGCTCGCTTGGCAACTTTTCACATAAAAAAAAATTGTATTTTTGCGATCACTATTTATTTATTTATTTATTTATTTATTTACACTTTATGCACAATCTAGTACAAAGGCGGACTTAATGCCAATTCATGGTAGGTAAATAATTATTCAATTTAAAAGCTTACATGTATTTATATAACAATATCCAAATGAATATTGCAATAAGTTTCAGGAATTTCAGAAACGTCCCAATCAATTGTAATTCTGAAAGCATTCGTCACGTGCCACAATCTCTTTAAGTTCAAGTTAAAGTGTCATCATCGGCAACATCACATGTGGCCGCCGACGCGTGCCCTTTGCGTGCAGAGTTGGTTGCAGTTCTCCAGCAAGGCCCTGTAGATAGATAGGTCGCTATGCGCCACGGAGAAAGTATCGACGCTTAAATAGATCTAATTGGATGAACGCCACTCGTGTTAAGTTTGCATATATTGTTCTTAAGCACGTGAACCCTTGGTTATAATTAAACCATGCTCGTTTTCTGAAAAAGATTAACAAGTTTTGTGCTACTTGTCCTAAAGTGTTATTAGTTAAGTGTCTCTTTATCATCACTTGAATAACAAAGTGTTTCCTATAGATTAACGTTTTGTTTAACTATGAAGTGTAAACAAAAAGAATTATGCTTTAGTACAATAAATATTATTTGTTTTATAAAACAGTGACAAAGGACAATGGCCTTAGTCAGTACCTACTCTTGAAATATTGATCGTTCAACAAGCACAAGGTGTGTACTTATTTTTTGTTTATTCTGTAATGTAAACCCCTTAAAAAGAGGGGTTATGAAATTGGAATTTATGGATTTATGGGAATGAAATAAATACATGTAAGCATTACACACTATGAAACTTATAACATCCAAAATACTATATTAAATAATTAATCCCACATATATTTAGCAGTATTGGGTGTTTTTTTATTTTGTTTCAGAGTATGTTTTTTTTTTTTGCAAAAATGAGAGACCTTCCTATTTAATCTCGTTTCCGGCAATGGATGGGATTTCTTTTAACATTTGACACATAATAGTGGACAATTGTCGAAATTATTAGTATACGGATGCGTATTGAGTGAAACGTGCGTCTATATTCCTGATAAATATCAATGCCAAGTAAGGAGGAGGCACAGAGTTGTCAAAAAAATAAATAATCAGATACCCTATTCAAACCGTCAAGAGCCTTCATAATATAAACAATCGGAGTCCCGGTCCGAACCGCAACCTCGATGGCCCTTAGATGACATACCATTGTTAAACGCACGCATGATCACGGCGCGCGCGGCCCTACCCACAGCGGAGGGCCCAAACCCGTGGCTTCTGGCTAGCCCACCGGTTCTGCGTCAGATGAAGCTTTAATAGTCTCGGGACTGACAGCAAAACATCAGTTAATACAAGATACAAGATACAATATAAACTAATAATAATATTACTTTTAGTATATGAACTTTGTTAGAATATATAGAGCTCTGTTGGTGCTGACATACACTTAGATAAGTTACAGAGCAACTCAACACAAGCATACACTTAGATAAGTTTGATGCTCAAGGTTTTAATGATAATTATTATGTTTTAGTGAGCTACTTTATTCGGTACTAGGTTAAACTAAAGCAACTTTTATCACAGAATTCAAATGTTTCGTTATATTATTAAAATTTATCAATTATTTAAAAACAGGTTTTAAAATACTAACACATAATGCTAACTAATGGTAAATAAAATCCTTTGCTCGTAAATTTAAAACACGTTACTTTTTGGATTTTTGAATTAATTTTATATTTAAAAGAAATGTTGGCGTACAGGCTTCGTGAGATTCAGATTTTTGTATTTAACAACATAGTAGGTACTTATATTAATAGTTCGCAGCTACTTTCCAAACCTATGTCAATTTATAAATGCAACAATACCCAGTACATTTAAAAACTTATATGTTATACATATAATATGCATGTTACTATCACGGAGAGGCGCTTGATTTTTATTTTTATATTTTATTTTAGTTTAGATTTTTCCTGACTAAGAGGCAGCTTAGTCAATAAAATAAATAAGAATTATTATCTTATTGTATTGACACTTCCCGAAAACAATTTCTTTATAGGCTTTGCTTGATATAATTACATTCCCATACTATTTTATCATGTCTAGTGGAAAAACTGACCGTCAGTTCCAGCGGGCATGTTATGTACTACGTTGTGTGATACTCGTATTTGTGCTCCATTTTTCTTTAATTTTACTCTATGTCGACATCAATGCATCTGCAAACCCTCAACCGATGTAATGTCCATGGGTGGCGGTTATCACTCAACATCAGGTGAAATACCTGCTCGCTTGACAACTTTCGAGACAAGAAAAATTGTGCAATTCCATTATGGCATCGCTATTAAAATATATTAAATTAGAAACACTACGACGTATGTCGTACTGCTTCTCTCAATGTCATCTGCTGAATGATTAGGGTTTGAGTTTGCTGATTTGTCGTTGGTGTGGCGGCAGGCGGGCGCGGCTCGGCGGGGCGCGAGGCTTGGGCGCTCCGGGCGGCGCTGCGGCGGCTGCGAGACGCGTGGCTTGCACAGCGGTGAGTGGCCCTGGCGCCCACTGTCTTATGTCATCAAATTTAGATTATGTAACAGCTGTTCTAGATAAGTTGTCCGAAAATTAAAATAAAACAAAATATATAAAATACCACGTGATTGAGAAAAGCTGTCGCACGGTAATTGCGACGTATAGTATGCAATAATGGTGCAGGTAGGTACTTAAACATATCAGATGTCCTGTGTAAACAATATTGCGATTTCAAGTTTAGAATAATTTGGCAGAAAAAATAGTTACTCGTGGAGGCAGCTACAGTTGCAGAATGAGCGATTAATTCAAACATTATATCCATTAAAAACATCGACATGAGGAAGAAGTCTGCTCCGATGGTTTTTGTTACGCATTGATTTGCATACCGCAACGACGGCGTACCACTCGCCTCACCGCGTCGCCTTCTGTGCGAGTTTCCGATAAAGAAAGACGTCCAGTTCCGCACGGGTGCCGTTTCATTAAATAAATATGAGTTTTCTTGCATATGAACACGTTGAAAATATTTTTTATATTTCTCTAGACATTTTTTTATTAGCGAGCAACTTCGACCTAATCTCCAAGTACGACGAACTATTAGGTCATTGCTTCTTACATATATATTTTTCTCCCCGTGAAACGATTACAAAAAATTCTTAAAAGATTTTAAATGTACTTTATTTATATACAGGTGAGATTTTGGACTAACTGGATTACTGTTAGCTGACAAAACTTATTATTAAGAGTATACCAGTGCCGGATTAAACGAGCGAGGGGCCCATAGCATTTTTTCAATGAGCCCTTGAAAAAATGCTATGGGCCCTTCTGCTATGGTATATGGTTACTAACTTATACTAAAAATAATTGAGACTGTTAATCTTACAAATAGATAATTTTAAGACTACTGAGACATTTCAATTCTGCTAAACATCGTGCGAACGTCAGACGTTTTGTATAGCTGATTATCGGGCCGACTGAAATACACGTTTATACAAGCAACTTTTGGTAGAACTTGTGCGTTTACCGTATAAAATTCAGTATTTTACTTACGCCAAGGAAATAGTCGGTACTGATTGTCTGACGTGGAAAAGTAGCAAAAATTGTAACGTTTCACGTTTTTGTGACGTTCAGTCAAAAAATGACTCTCAGGCAGAGATGAGTGGGTTTAAATATGCGGAGCCCGTAGCAACTAGCAACTCTTGCTATGTGGTTATGCGGTCCGCCACTGTATGCAACGGTTGTTGTAAATATAAAGTCGGGTGAAATTGACAAGTGGTCGGGCGTTCAGTACTTCTATGCGATCAAGTGAAACTTGTACACGTCCTTTGTGTAACTGCGTCTACTTGCGTAGAGGCCATTATGTTGGCTGAGATGCGTTCCACCAACTGCACAACAATGCGCGCCTGGAAGAGGAGAATCAGAGCTTGACGTGGTCGGGACGAGCTGCCCTTTGTTGTTGCGCAAGCCCTCAGAGGCGTCACGCGAATGTTATCCGCCACCAACGGTCAGGCAAACGAAAGTCTGTTTATTTAACACAACACATGCATTGCACTTCTGCGTCAACTCCAAGGGCCGAAAGAAGTTTCAACTATTTTATTGTATTTTGTTTTTTTCGTAAGATAGTTAAAGAAAAATAATTCGTGAGATACGCGACGCGCTAAACATAAAAAATTGGTACGATTATACTTATCGGTATCATTGGTTAATGTTATCAGTCTGTTAAATAAATATATTATAATCACAGTTTGCGAGTAAATAATTTCACGTTTCAACATATTCATTTTAAGTTTCCTTGCACAATCAACAAATTCATATGGTTATATAAATTAATTAATAATGTGTATATGAGTAACGCGTCTCTTTCGCTGCTCAATTAGTTGTTAATATTTTTTTCCATAATTTTTGATTAATGCGTCGGACCCTTAAGAAGGAGCTCCGCAATCAGCCCTCTGTGTCGTAAGGAGAAGGACGCCGCGGCGGAGCGATGCCGAACCGAAATAAACGCACCGCTCCAGTGTCGGCCGAAGGCGCCCCGTTTGAGGAATGTTTATTTCCAGTCGATGGCTCATACGGATTATTATCTGCGTTAGTATCTCGACGTCGGTTAGATTACGTTGCAGACGACTGATGCATCGTTGGCCGCGATGGAGTCGCTGGCCGAACGCTGGCTCGAGTGTGCACATGTGTACATTATACAAGTAACAACTCGATACTAACTGTTCCTGATAAAGTAAACGTAATACTGTGCGGTTTTACAAGTGTTAAGTTTTTCATATTTTCTTTCTGAGGGTGATTACTTTATAAAGTCGTGGCGCTAGCTCGCGTGATAAGGTAGGATTTAATTAATACAAGTTATTGTTACAATGAAAGTTTTGTTCGTGACATCGCATTTCTTTTCGCGCTTTACACAAGGAAGTACTATTTGGTACTGGCTACGGACAGCCTACTGACAAGTTTCGGGCCCATTCAATCTTATTCAGAGCAATATTGTGTACACACAACGTTTTTGGGTTCAGAGATTGGGTGTGAGGTCACACGCAATCTCTGATACTCCATACTCATACGACCACGTCGCTGCCGCTAACGCATGATTATATTAAATATTCGCTCTTTATTTTTGCGCAGTTCTCTACTTTTGCATATGTTCCAAGAAAAAACATGGAATATTACAATGTTGTAAATTGCAACGTTAAATATGGAGTAATAAAAATTCACACCATTATTTCTTTACTCGCACATGGCTACGTTTGCGGCATAAAGCGATAGCTGTTTAGCGAAACGCTACCACGCTCCTTGTTTCTTAATCGGTTTAATGACTCGGTGCGGCGTTGGCTGACTCATTTCGTGATAACCGTGTGGAAACCTTATCAGCACCCGGTGAGCCCTCCACACGCTACGGCCTTGTCGTCGGGCGTCTTCACTCGCGACAACGACAACAAAGTAGTATGACTCAACAACGAGTGGAAAAACGTTACAATCAGGCGGATGACACGGATGCGTGCAACTTATCATATATAGTCTCTTTTTAATAGAACCTCTGTGCCCTCTTTAAAAATGAATAAATCATTATTGAGACAAACAAAGCATTAAATTAATCACGTTAATTGTGGTTCATACGAAAACGCTAGTCCTACGGCCTTACTCGGTACCGGTACTCTTGGCTTGGAATCAAGGCATTTAGTAATTGAATAATTCCAAATTTAATATTCGTGTGACTATATAAATTAAATGTTTACTTTAATGATTGATTTCACTGATACATGAAAATATTGTCCCAAACACGTGATAGATCGAGACATTTTAAGGGAATCTTTATTAAATATTATCTGGGAGGCTAATGTCTGTAATATAGAGTATAATCTGCTTAAGATTATTTATTTAAGGATATGAATAAATGCCATTAAAGAGATAGAACTAAAATTAATGTTTAACAACAATAAATAACAATTTCAATTTCAATTGATAGAATTAAATTGGTTCTCAAAATAGAGATTTGTAGTAGAAATCGCACAATTTACGGCGAAATAGTTTTGAACCTAGACAAATAAGTCTAGCTAGCAGTAATTTTATTGTCCCTTCGCGTTAGAGAGATGGTTTTATTTACGTCGTAATGTTCGTTTTTTATTTGTTTACTTTTTACTCGTTACTTCGTTTGTTTTTTACTCGAGAAATCCTGAACCGTGGTAAAATGTGTTCTTTTCTGTGATAAAACTGATGGATTATACGCAACAGCAAGTCTTGCCCGGACTCATGATTTTCTGACAATTCGGACGTTATCATGTAGTGGCCAAGACAACGCCTCTTCGAGGTGAGAGCGTCATAAGTATTAAGGAAATACCGAGTTGCGAGACGCCCTAAAATGTTCATTACTAACACCGGTTTATACATATAACTGAGATTTGCGAAGTGAATCGTTTGTAATCGGCCATTACACCTCCACTTAGAAATTGTCGCGTCGCCACCCGCCCCTCACCTCACACGACGCGGGAACGCCACGGCGAGGGTCTGCGTTCTATTCCTGGAGCAATCGCAAATAAACAAATAAAAGTATACTCAAGTGCATATCTCTCATTGCTCAGGACATTGTTATGTTCGGAATACTTTCGGCAATGGAGTTTAGCCATTCTATTGCTCACACACGATCCGCCACCTTTTATGACGCTCTATTAATTATTATTGGCTCCATTGTGTTTACTGTCTATATCGGATCTCAGATCAAGAGCAGCTTAACAAGAAAGCAGATAATTACACTCATGTCGATAACTTTACATATTTTCTATGATTCGCTCCGATTGCCCGCGTCGCTGTCGCCGCGCATTTACATAATTTATTCTTACAAACATACAAGCGTTCGCGGAGAACTCAGGCCTTGCTAAGTGTACGTAATTATTTCACAAGACCAGTTTTTGATTTAAATTTACAGGAGCTTTCTAAACATATGGTTTTGCTTACTTAATTGGATAGTAAAAGCTTTATGATTCTGTATTTATTCACAAAGTGTGTACCATTGTCACAAGAATAATTGTCAGCCTTGTTTCGGATGTATGAGTCTACGTGTCCTAAAAACAAGATGCGCAGTTGTAAAAAACTCGTGATCCTTCCATACATGGCAAGTGGTTTTTAATAAGTCTAATCAACGACGTATTTTACAAATAAAACTTATGCGGCAAACGAGTTGTAGTGGAATGCATGATTGAATATCGCTAATGAAATGAAAGTTCTTTGTGCGCGAAAATGTGATGCTGTCTGTCACTTTGCTCTCACCGGCGGTAATGGCGTGAAACATTGAGGTATTGATAACTAGACCACTTATGCAAAAAGAATAGCGGACGTTTCTTTACGTATACGCTTGTCGTTTGTGTTTTTTTTCTACCTGCCCTACTGTGCGTAAGTGTCCCGGGTACGAATGATGCCTACCTTCCCCTTCCTACTGTTGTCACTTTATGTTGATTAGATTAACCCGCATCTAGCCAGTATGATCACTAAAAAAATTACAAATTGATTAATTTTTTTTTATTTAGTGAGTCACAGATCCGACACAGAGCAATCCGACTTCGATAAGTTAGGTTAGAAGGTTTGCCTTCGTGGTTATTTTTTTAAAACCACCCAGAACGTCAGTGTAACCACGGAATAGAGAAAACAAGTGGAAGTGCCATGTGGGCGTAACCCGACGACCACAGTTAAGCGAAAGTGTCACTAACTGAATGCAATACAAGTTCTGGGCAATCGCCGCTGGAAAAGAGACGCACGAACTGTCACAACAGATGTCCTCCTGAACATAATCCTATTATAATGCCGTACTGCGTAATTTATGACTGCAAAAATAATAGCCGAACGAAAATGTCAAGGGCAAGCAAGTGCTACTTTATTTACAAAATAAAAAATTTTTACGAAAAATCGAAAATTTATTTTGAACTACACTCGATAGGCAACAGTATTATAGTATATTTTGCCATGACAAGAAAAGTGCTAAGAATATTGTTACCCAAAGGGTAGCAAACCGTACTTGAGTAGCACTTTTACTAAGACTTAGCTGTCTGTCTGTCTATGTGTCTGTCCTTCCGTCTGTCATCAGGATGTATATTATGAGCAGTGATAACAAAACCATTGAAATTTTCACAGATGATGAATTTCTGTTGCCCGCTATACAATAAAAATTTAAGTGGGTCTCCCATACAACAGACATGATTTTTTGCCGTTTTTAAAGATAATGGTACTAAACCCTTCGTGCTCGAGTCCAACTTGCTCTTAGCCGATTTTTTTTGTAAGAGGTTGAAACGAAAAACGTCACAAATGGATTGTACGTCATTCATAAATGAAATCTTAATGTCTAGATTTTAAAGTATATTTTTCAAGTAATAGCAATTAAAATTTAAGTTTAAATATTTTGAATAGTTAATGCCAATAACAGCTAAAATACATTTGTAGAACAAACACGACACAAGCATCACTTGTAAGAACCACTTCTACTGTTTTTTTCTATTCCGTCAGTGTAACAGTACTTATAGTATTTTTAATAACTCTTTTTTTAATAATGCGATGTTACATTTGGAAAAGTGTCTGAATTCGTGTACTTGATATTGTCAACAACAAATAGCTGGATTTCTTTAGTGGAAATAACATGTTATAAATATTTTAAAATAAATAAAAGTTGGCGATATATTATGTAAGCTTAGGTAAACGGTAATTTTTTTTTTATAATGTAGTTCTTGATAAAATGGATTGCTTTCAGAACAACAACTTGTGAAAGCGACCTGGAAACTGAAGCTGGACACGAAAATAGCCCGATGTGGCGCCGAGGTGGATTGGGGGAGTCCCCCGCGCTAACGCCGCGGCCGGGCGCTTCGCCCGGCCTTCTGCGACGCCGATACTCGGTACCCGAGACTGTCATGCGCAAGTGAGAAACAAACGGGCTTTGTACAATATGTATACAATGTTCTCACAATGATTGTCACAACTGACTTTTCACACTGAGTTATATTGGTTGATATACGTCAGGCAAAATTAAAAAAAAAGTCTATATAAAACCTGCATGTCACATTGTAAGACCGTGGTCGCTTTCGAGCCACACCCGAAAACTGTATTATTCAGAAGCATTGGGTATGTGAAACTGGACGACATTTTCCTATTTGGTTTTTGATCTTGAGTTTACAATTAATATATAATGCTTAGAGTCGACATTACAGCCGCAGAGTACCTTACACTAATGTAGTATTTATTTACGAAGAATACCATCAAAACGCAGCTTAAGCATTACAGACATAAGGTCAATTGTCTGTGAATGGCGTACTTATTGAGAACATGGAATTAAATTTCTTTCATACATAATAATATTTTGTTTACTAATAAAAAAGTCAAATAGCGATTTGCAACTTAAGCATAATTATGTGAAATGGAGCCTGAGAGTTATGTTCACTGCACGCGTTTATCGCGCCGACATACATGTCGTATGTTTAGTTTTTATTATTTATATCGATAAAACTATTTTTCATCGTAACCGATATATGATAACATTTGCGACACCTCGATGTCAGGTCTTTTTTATTGCGATATATTTGACAAATATACCCACGAATTTAAGTCCAATTACTTATTAAAACATTTTTAATTTGCAGGTATCGCCTAGCGCAACTAAACAGTGAAGATGCCAGTCGTACCTCTGCGGAAACTTGTTCGTGCTGCGCACTACCAGAGCCCGCTCCACGCCTTTTGCGACGCGATCGAGAGCTCATGCGCCGCTCAGCCCTGCTGCGACGGTTGCATGGCCGCGCCTGCCGCGCCTGTTGTTGCGGCGGTTGCGAGTGCTCAAGAGCTACGCGCTCCTTAGATGCCTCGCAGTCTGAACTGCGTCCGTCTTCCATTGCACGACGTTCCCCTGCTTCGGGGCGCACATCCCCTAAGCGTTTGCGTTTAGAATCCCCCACCCCTCGTGACTCGAGACTGTTTTTGTCACCTCTCTCCAGTGAACTGGCCCTTTCTGCTTCCTCAATCCGTGTTCATACCTTAGGAGTATCTTCATTCACTGATACTGATATGCTTGTTGCTAGTTCTACTTCTGAATCTGATTATAGAGATGCGACAAACATAAGTTGTTCCACGTTTCAATGTTCTGGAGGGGAAACAGATGTAAGAGTATCCACATTAGCAGTTGAAACTGACAACATATCTTGTTACGGTGAACGCGAGGAAAATTCCATTGCTGATTCATCAGACACGTGTTCTACATCCATGTGTACAGCAAAAGAAACCGTTACTACAACAAATCAGAATGTGGGTAAATTCATTTCAAATGTAGACAGTATAGATAATAGGGTCGGTGGTAGAAATAGCCGATCTGAAATGGACAGTTGCAACCTTATGCCGTATGAGAGTCCTCTAACAGTGGAAACTCCACCTTATGATATTCTCGAAATTATTGTATCGGAAACATTAAATACAATTAAAAATCCTATTGTTAACACTGATCGTACTGAGAAAAATAACGTTTCAAAAAGTCCCCATGAAAAAATTAAACGGTTAAAAGATGCTAGAAGTGCAAATATAGATGAGTATGTTTCGAATATATTAGTAGAAAGCTTAAATTCTTTAACTGATCAACTTGAATCAATGAATGCATCTATTGGTGCAAACGGTAAATTGAGTATCGTCGAAAAGGAGATTAAAGTCAAATTACAAAATACAGGGGTAAATACTATTGTGCACCTAAGTCCCACGTCTAACAATCAAATAATTTTTGGACACGAAGAATTGTGCTGCAGCGATGAACGTCGAGATAGTTGTAGTAACGTTTGCAACAACTCCGTATCGCCCGCTATTCGCGAGGAGCTTCAATCCCCAGAGACCAATAACAATCAGACTTCTGCTGAGAGCCAGCTACCATCATTTTCACCTGACCTTAGACAATCTGAGAATTTTCCGAACGTAATTCAATCAGATAACGTCAACAAAGCAGTACTTCAACAAATACAAAAACTGTTTCAAGACGACATACAAAAAATGGAACCCAATAAGGGTTATCAGAACAGTATGCCCAGTATATCACACATTGAAATATCCAACGTAGATGTTTACATAGACAATAATCTTGAATCATATTCGACCACAGACCGAACACAAAAAGAGGTGCAGAAAGGTGTTGATAACTCTGAGTTAATCGGTAGCGTTGGTGCGGGTAATTATTATGAGGATTCGAGGGACAGTGCAATTGTACCACGTTTTTCAGCATTTCCACATTCTGATTCGATGGAAGTAAATACATCCTCATCGGACGACGCTGAAGTGATTGGTTCTGACTGTACAAGTCTTGTGGATAGTTTAGATGATCCGAATTCGCCGAGATCAATTGTGCTGAGAAAATCTGCTAAAAGAAGCGAATTAGTTAGATCTTCAATTGATATCTTAGATTTATTGCCTGAAAATGTTAATCAAGTAGAAACTGCGAGCTTAAAAGATAAAAGTGAATCATTTTTTGTTAGATTAAAAGATGACAACTGTGAATGTGACTGTGAAAAGAAAGACATTGTAGTAGCTGATCATATGCCGGAAACTATAAAACAAAGGTTATTAAGAAGACACAGAAAAAGAGAAATGCGTATGGAAAGTGCTCGCCGTGGTAAAGTAAAACAACTTCGAAAAGAGTTAGAGATACAGTGTAATAATGAATTACTTAAGTCCAAAAAAGAAATAGAGCGACACTGTATAGCTATTATTAATTCTCTCGTAGATGATATCATTACAAAGACTGCTCAAAATGAATACAAATGTATGCGTATTAAACAAAAATCTGTAATGATGGTATCGGCAAAATCTGATGAAAATTTATGCAGAAAAAGCTGGAAAAAAGATATGAAACACAATAATAATAAAGAAATGTCAAAGAACAAAACGACCCGATCTTGTTCGGAAGGTATGAATAACAGTTATGATAAAGCCGAAAAGTACCAAATACGAGGTAAGCTTTCCCTACAAACTTATCCAGCACTAACACCTGATGAAAACAATGCCAAAAGAATTTACCAAAAATCAGAAATACACGACGGTAAAAAATGCATAGAAATTCTAGAGATACTGGAATATGTAAATGGTTCAGAGAGTTCTCCAGAAACTGGCAACTCTGACGATAATCAAAATGTGAAACACAAGAAATCTAGAATACCCATACCTCAAAATAGTATTAAAAGTAGCGCTTCACGCACTCAACTATTTCATGACAGAAATGACAAGACAGGCGTATATTTTCCCAGTCCTTCGCAGATTACTTATTCTGACCAGTCTTTGTTGCAGACAGATTCACCACCTTGCAGGGGCAGTTCATTGCAACCTCCACGTCGTGCATCTGTACCTCACTGTGAGCCTAGGGCGCGTTCTAATTCATTGCGTTTCAAGAGAGTTTTTGATATGATTCCAGAGGAAAGAAGTAGCCTCAGCATGGACTCGCCTAATAATGAACAAACACAAAGTCGCAGAGCATCTGTGCCTACTCTTGCTGATAGTCTACTTAGTGCCGATAGTGACATAGACTTTAGAATAAGTCGTGGTACCCCTGAGACCGAAGAAAAGAAGCAACAACTAAAGGTAAATTCTACTGGTGACCAAAAGGCAAAAGATATGAGAAGCGCGGGAACTTCCCCTATGTCCAGTAATAATGTAAATAATAGTGCTTTAAAGCAAAGAAGTGAGAAGGCCATATCGTCGCCTTTGCAGAGATCTGCTGCCACAAGTCCAATTAGAAATTTTACAATGTCAACGCAAACACCATTACCACGAAGAAAAAGTATATCTAATCAGCTGCATCAATCGCAACAACAGCAGCACCAGAGGAATAAAATTCAACAGACGGGTACCCCACCACGCACCCAGCAGCAAGCGCACGAGCTACCAAGGACTCAGCAGCTGCAACAGAAGCAGCCACGATTAATGAGACACCGTGTCGCGCCAGAACTCGCCCCACGCCAGCACCTTGTCGAAGGTACCACCACACGCACATGTGCATCGCCGCTAATCGCGCATCGCACCGCTTCTACCATTCCCGTAGAGTAATTAAGAGCAAGCACTACGCAGCGTATTCAATCTCAAGAGTAGATTAACTCACAAATTTAGATACTGTGTATGTTTATCACATTTATGCAAAAACATCGTTCGTTTATCGGACTCGTTTCGACCTGACTACACTTACACGCAAGTCACGCACCATGTTATTGTATTAAACCGTATTTCAATAAATTTTTGAAACGAGAATTAGTTAGTTTTATTTTATGAAGGTGGGGGGATTCGGTTGAGAGACACTTTCACCCGGCGGCGGTCCGTAAGCTCGCAGCGAGAAGCCGAGAGGCTGCCGAGGTGCGGTAACGGACACGGGGAGAGGCTGGCGGCAGTGAGGGTGGGCGCGGAGAGTGGCGCGGCCGGTGGCGCCTCGGGCAGCTCCAGTTCCAGTGAGTCTGGCGGAAGTCTGCTATGCCCGCTGGCGCCGGCGTGGCTGCAGGCGCGCAGACGCCGCCGCCGCGCCAATGCCGCAGGTACAGTTAATGTGTTTTAGCAAATTAATAATGAGCATGAAATATCATACGATTGAAACCTAAAACTGACCCGGAAAACCAAGAACGAAACTGTTGTCTTTTTGAGCCTTGGCATAATTTTAAAGCTCTACTATTCATTATTATTAGAAATAATATCATATTATTAATAAACCTGGTAACCCTATAGTGTATGCTAAAACTGTATCAGACTAAAGAGATGAGTATGAGTATATGAGCTTTACGCAAAATAAATTGGTACAATATTTGATTCAATGCGTTGAATTTAAATATTTAAAGAGTCCTGGACAAAGTTTTAGTAAAGTCGCAGCACGCGGAGCTGTTGCACTAATGGGCAGGCTCGTCCGGGTAAGTACCACGACCTCACAGAAGACCGGCGAAAAGTGGAAGTATAATACTTTCGCGTTTCGTCTGGTAAGTGAGGTGGCCGGAGCCCAATTTTCAAAAGGTTTTCAACGCATCTGAAACCCTCGGGTATAGCAGATGTCCATGGGTGACGATATTCAATTAACATCAGGTGAAACGTCTGCTCGTTTGACAACTTTTTACATAAAAAAAAAACCAAACACCCATTAAAACATGAAATAAAAAATGCTTTTTGGTGTAAAGTTTAATATAGAGAAGCAGATGTTATCCCTATTAATGAAACTAGTTTTTAATTTTCATTTTAAATCCCGATGTTTCGAACCCTTTCCAGCGTTCATGATCACGTGACGGACTGAGTTGTTGGCTACCATCAATTATTTTATTATTTATTTTTATTCAGATCTATTCCGAAATATTGAGATGCTTAATATTTGCCTAAAATCAAGAAATCAATAGATGTTATCATGCTTCAATGTCTTACATAATTTCTTAACATTTTAAAATTTTGGTTGTGTTCTATGGGAATAAATCCTACAAGCAGTTGATATTACTATGGAATTGTTTTAAAGGAACATATTTTCAATACTCTTCGTCATCATCAGTACTGTTGTTTGTTATAAATTATAGCTTTTTAGTCAGGTCTGTTGGTTTGGGCAAGGAAAATGGGCAATGCCCATTATCAATGAAAAAATTGGTAATGGGCATTCATTATCTCGCACATTGGAGTCAGTTAAATGTTAATTCGCGAATACCACTCGCTAGATTACTGACCATTGCGCAGTTGTCAAGGCATGGGGTCGTCCTACACTGCGATGGCGAGTACGAGGTTACCACTCGAGAACCTTTCTTCCCCAACGGTTATTGGTTCTACGAGCTATATGGCCGGCCCATCGCCACTTCAGCTTGCTAATTCTCTGAGCTATGTCGGTTATCTTAGTTCTACTGCGGATGTCTTCTTTACGAAGTTCGTTCGTTATTTGTGTGACCCATAGTAATTGTTTCCCAGAAGGCAAAACTATGAATGTGGTATTTAAAGTGATATTTTATTGTACACTAGCTTTTCGCCCGCCTTTCGGCCCGTATGTACCACATTTTATATCGTGCTTAAAAAGTAGCCTTCCTCAATAAATTGGCTATCTAACAGTGCAAAAATTTTTCTAATCGGACCAGTAATAGCTCAGATTAGTGAGTTCAAATAAACTGATGCTAGCTAGACTGCTAGCATCTGTTTATTACAGTTATGTATCTCAAAAACTGTGACAGACAGTGATAGACAGTTGAAATTTTCACTGTTGACGCTATAACAATAAATAAAGTAAATCAGAATATTACGTGTAGAATAATAAGTGGGGCTCTCATTCAACGGACATAATTTTATTGCCTTTTTTATAGATTATGGTATGGAACTCTTCGTTCACGATTGCGACTCGCATTTGGCTGGTTTTTAAATTTATATAATCTAACAATCATCATCATTTTACAGACCATAATATAATTGTAGTTAACTATAGTTTCATCCACTTCGACTGTAGCGATTTTTTTTTTAAGTTGATATAAAATTTTTATTTAGGAACCGATTTGAATAAAACTAACACTAAATGTTAAGTGAAGTACTACAATGCATAAGTGAAAGTTGCACCCAAATCGGTTAAGCCTTTTCCGAGATTACGCGCACAAACGCACATACACACGGACATAAATTTTAACAACCATTGTTTTGGGTTCTATTGTCTTGATAAAGGAGGATCTTTAATAATAGTTTTTCTCAAATATCTTCCGTGTAACATTTTTATTATATGTATCGTATGTATATCTGTCTGTATCTGTCTGAAGTTTTCGCTTTCATCCTATTCCACGCGGACGTAGTCGCGGGCAACAGCTAGTAAATAAATAAATATCGTCGGTCTCAGGTGTGTTAATCAAGAGAAACTCAAAAACTACTGAATGGATTTTCATACGATTTAAAGTTGTAATATGTTTTTTTTAAATATAAAGAGGATCTCCAAAAATATGTTACAAACACTGCAAGCTGAAGTGATCAGTGCTGTGTGCGCGCTCTGCGATGTTACGTCGGCGTGTCGTAGGCGCAGGTCGGTGGGCGGTGACGGTGGCCGGCTCTTGCGCCGCCGCCCTGCCAGCGGACGTCGAGATGCGGCTTCGGTTCCCCGGGGCGCAGCAGCAGCCGCGCGCCACCGCCACTCACGCCGCCCACGCCGCCCACGCAACCCACGCCACCCACGCAGCCTACGCGGCCCACACCGCCCACGCCGCCCAGCCGGCGCCCCGGCATGGCGAACCCCCGTCACCGCCGTCCTCGCGTCGCGCAGTACGTTGGCCGAGGCCTTACATAATTCCTCTGTTAAATATATATATATTTTTTGTTTTAGTACTTTTACGTACGTCGTATGTCAATCCCATCGTACCCTTATCACACTAACGATACATGAAACACTTACTTTGAGCCATTAATTCAAATAAAAGATTTGCACCTTATTATTTAAAAAGTCTGAGGACATGAATGGACAGAAAAATCCATACGTCATATCTGTTCAAATTTAAACAAATTATTCTAATAGACTCATACCGACCGGATTCAATCAAAATGTGGAGAAAGTTTTCACTTTTCAACAACTCCAAGTTCTTTGCAGGTGAAGAAGTCAGTCTCAGTGCGAATAACAATATTTTTACAAAGATTCTATTTATTAACATAAGACAAAGCCTCGGAGATTGCAATAAGCTCTAACGTCATAATTCTGTTATATAAAAAAATATATTATCTTCATTACATGTAAAATATATATTAGGCACATAAAATGTAGATCTTTGACCCAACTATAAATGTAATGCATTAAATCTGATGTTTAATTCTTAGTAAATTAGTATCATAGGAACTTTGAGAATTTAGAATTATTTCTACATTCGATATAAAAACTTCATTTGCTTTAATTTAAACTTTACCCACACCCCTAAAATAGTCTTACATTTATTATGTCCATCCAAAGGTTACCTGGAAGTAATTGCTTTAAGTAATAAGGCCGAACATTGTGCAATCATTGTACAATACTCAACTGATTATGTGATAATATTAATAATAGCCATTCCTTCCCTTAACAGTCGGCAATATTGTAAGTAAACAAAAACACATTGTTTTTTTTTTAATTTCACCTAGTTTGTTAAATGCGCTGCGGAACAAGAACGATTGTTTTACGGCAGCAATACTTGGCTGGACTACTTCATGACCAAGTACGAAGTGTCAATCATATCGGGGGCACGCTCCCCAAGGGGAAAGCCGTATGCAAATGGAAGAACAGTTTCATTAAGGAGACCTGGGGAAGTGGTGACGTCAACTTGGGAGTCACCAACGAGGACATAAATGAGGACGAACAAAGCTGTGCGTTTAACGGAGTGAATGATAATTGGGACGAGTACATCGACTAGGGAGATAATGTTACCGTCAGGGGGGCTGTTGACGTCTTACATGTCGACGACATGTGATGACAGTTGCGAATGAGGCACATGTGATTAGGGCGAGCGAAGCGATACTTAACGCTATCCCAAAATCTGAGCATTTTTGTGGTACACTTTGCTGAAAAACTATCAGGCGTATAGATTTGTACTTTAACATAGTAATTGAACTTCATATCTAGATGTGTGATCTGTCAAAAAAAATATAATTTCATAACCATAAAAAACATGAACATTAACAAATTGGTATGGATATAATGTTATTGTACTACTAACGCCATCTTTTAGAACACCAAAGAGTCAACACCGATGCTACAGAACAAACTCAATACTCAAATACATCGTAGTAAATGTATGTAATACTAGAATTACACAAATAGAATCTGGTTGTAAACTAATAATTTTGAAACTGCCTGGAAAAATTTGGAATTAAAACAGTGCAATTTATGTCATCGTCTTTGGTTTCGTTTAAATATTGATAACAATGGAATTTATACTCTTTGTCATAAATTCAAAATTATAAATGAGTTGAACATATTTTCTATCGAAAATTCCGATCCTGGACCACAATCCGATGCTTTAACAAAGTTAACATTTATTAAAGAACAATTAATTGCCCAAGTTCACCAGGCTATAACAGTATATCGATTTAAACCACTCTGACCGAAATTCCGCCTTGCCGTGGCGGAGGAGCTTAGTAGCCCTGGCTTGGTCACCCAGAGCGAAGCTAAGTGGAACCCACACTGAGTCGGGCTGTGTGCAAGGTTGGCCCGACTGGGCCGCTCCGAGTTGGCTCATTGAGCCCACTCTGGAAGCGTGCTGGAGGGTGCAGGGGACAGGTGGTAGAGGAGGACCCTCCCTACCTGTCATCTGCTTCCGAGTAGGAATTGCGGGGGGAGAAGAGTGTCGGTATTGCGGTACACCGTTCTGCCATCCGCGACTGAAATAACCCGACTTGTGATACAGATTCGTTCTTTAACATAGTAATTTACCTTCATATTTAGATGTGTTATTTGTGAAAAACATTATAATTTGTATTTTTTTGTATTTATTTTGTGTATTTGTTGGATACAATGTTATTGTAATACTAACGCCATCTGCTAGATAATTAAAGAGTTGTCATCGCTGCAACTGAACTAAACTCGATACTCAAATACATCGTAGTTAATCTATTAATACTAGATGACACCACTAGAATCATGTTGACATTTTTTGCACATATTTTGAAACGACTATTAGGTGAGTACCTACAAAAATATTAGAGAAATGCGTGAACGACAAGTGTGTGCACACCAGTCAAATGCCCAGTTTCCGAAAGGCCAATCAAAGCAGCAATCACATAACACTATGTCAAAAATGATCAGCTGTTAATCTCTTGTTAAACTGCCTTGGGTTTCTGGAAGGTTTGTTCAAGAAAAAATAGCTAATCACTGTATAACCAATGATAATGAATGAAATGAATGATTCACTTCAACTAACTCTTTCTATTGTATAGCTGTCCCTTTTTAAACAAAACTTAAATTAACGTCACTATCCAGTCCTGTCACCGTGTGATTTCCAACGTAAAAATTCAAGCTATAATAAAATTTAATTTATATAAATACATGCAAATGTCAAAAAAAAAAACTTTACAGAACGTGAAAAAAATGATCTTTTATCCATAATAAATAAGTAAGTATTATAAAAAGAAAGAATCCATATTATTTATTAACTTTTGAATTGCATTTTGTATTTTTTCTAATCACATGATATGTTCGCATAATAATAAAGTACCCGGAGGACCGAGCTTTGCTCGGTTTGTTTTTTTTTTTCGTAAATCGTGTATTTTGGAAATTAAATTTAGATACAAATTACTGAGTAATTAAATATGCATAATATTTTTCGATCTTACCGACGTAATAATAAGAAAACCGCCCGATTACCGACCGAGCTATTATGACATTTTCCCTTGCGGCGAAATTTACCGTCATATTCGAATTATATTTTTCATTCTCTGAAAACAGGGATAAAAGGGCATTTTTTAAAAATGAAACCTAGCTAGATCGATTTTTCGCCCCCGAATCTACGCAAATACTAAATTTCATGAAAATCGCTGGAGCCGTTTCCGAGATTCCGATTATTTATTTACTGTATCGGAGACAATTATATATATATATATATATATATATACAAGAATTGCTCGTTATTAGGAAATTATGTTTATTTTTAATAAAAACTAAGATTTTTGATAAATAACATTTTTAACCAACGATTGATCGTCCAAATTGACATTACTATGGGATAACTTCAGAAGTATAGGTTTTAAACATTGAATTAAGTAGTCCTTAAGTTCTTCTTATAATTTTATTACAATATTTCGCTAATTACATGTCTTTTCTTTCCGACGACCGTGCCAAGAGAGCATCTGTTCCTTGTCCCGCTGTTGGCAGTACCCTGAACGCATCATTCACACGTCTTAATTCTTATTGTGTTATGAGTACTGTTTTCAAAAAACATAATAAATTAGTTTAATATTTCTTACAATATTTGTGACAATTAATTACAGCTTTAGTTAAGTCTTTATGAAAAATAAATTTAAAAAAAAAAAAAAAAATCTTAATTTACATTTCAATGCTGCCATATTTCCAAGATATAATGTCGCTATTTTACAAAAGTTTTATCGAACATAAATTTATAATTAATCGAAAATATTATAATCGTTTATAAAGTAAGACTAATTTTCTAGTCAATATAAAATATAAACGCATAAATAGGCTAACATTACTTTGTGGCCATTTTGTTGATGGTAAAAATGAAAGTAATGGGCCACGTATTTATATTATATTCAATAGACGACATGGATAGAAACATACAGACAGTCAAGAAACATGTAAAAGAAGTTATACAGACTAGGAAGAATACTAGATGAAAGATACTAAATTAGAAATGTAGAAAACTATTATATCGCGAGAACAATTAGCGGAATTATCTGAGCGCAGTTAAACGTACATTCTCCGTGAGATATGGATTCCGACTAGCGCGTATGACCGAGCGGCAGCGGATTTTCGAATCCAGTAACGTCGGGTTCATGTGGTGACGTGGGTACGCGCGGGCGCAGGTAACATCGCTCTCGCTTGCACGGCGCAACGGTTACATGTAGTTCAAATTGTTTCGTGCTAGTGCTGCCACGCCACAACATAATAAAACTTTTGACAGCTCGTTGACCACCGAAAAATGATTTCAGAAACTCGATTTTCTATTGATTGTCCGTTAATCAGTGACTAATTGCAAATCAAAATCAATGTTTTTAAGACGTTCTAGCAACTCAGATCATGTTAAACAACGATTGACAAGAGATTTATCGTAAATTAAAATTGATTGCGCTTTCGGAAACTGGGCGAAAGGTTTTAACTGAGTATATTAATGATATTCCTACAGCGAAACAAAGAATACAAATACTACAGTAAAATGCCGCGAAGACACACTTAACAGGCCGTAAAGAAAGTGAACAAGACCGTTTGTTGATGAAATTTTTTATATGTTAGAAAAACTACGCGAGCCCACACAAAGCTCAGCTTTTTGCTAGTTTAATTTTAAATTATTAGTGTAGGATTAGAGAAGGTACTTATTCAAGACGAACGAAATTCAAATCGCTTCTAGAATTTTTAGCCACAATGACTACCGAACAGTTCAGTGGATGAACTCGAAGAGAAAGGAACATAAAAGTGAAATGTGAGTGAACAGAGTAGTGAAATGACAAGGCGTACGCGGAGGATTGGTACGGTCATGTGTGAGCCCGTTACGACGGACAGGACAGATACGCGTGTAGAGGCGTTAAAACGAGATTGGGGCGAGAGGGAAAGGGTGTCGCACCGACAGTCGCGTAACTGGTGGATTGGTGTGCAATGGGAGAGTCGTCGCACATGTAGTATTAATTAATAATTTGAGCGGTATTGAGAGGGCCGCCGCGCACTTTTGTGGAAGTAATAAAGTGAACATTTAAACGATCGATGTTTCACTGCAATCCCGAACCAGTAGTCGTAACTATTTTAACGCCTAATCGTTGCAGGTGAGGAGCGGAGCGTACACCCCTGAGGAGCCACGTCGTCTAACGCTAACTATGAAGAAGGAAGCTACAGGTTAGTGAATTCTTAAGTGCCTCGTGTTGGTCATCGTAGTTTAGACCTCCCACTAGATGGAGAGACGACCTGTGAAAGCCTGCAGGAAGTCGATGGATGTAGGTGCCTCAGGATTGTGCTTTGTGGTGATCTGAAGAGAAGGACTATTTTCAGCTTTGGACTCAAGCAGGTTAAGTTGATGATGATAATGATGATGAACTGTCTATGTGTTTTGGACACACTTTGTTTTATCAGATAAATGAATACCGATATGAACAGCTTAATTTTTTTTGTTATTTCAGACTCTTCAATTCTTGCATCCAAGAGTGTGAAGAAGTCAATGGATCCTCTGCCTGACGTCGAGACTTTCAGAGCTTCTCGCTGTAAGACTAAGAGTTCGGTCAAGGTAAAGCATGAGCGATATTTCAACTGAACTCAAAAATATTGAAAGGTGTTACACTTTTATATATGGAACTCTGGCCATAACTTGTACTCTTCGGGAATCTTTGGAAATGGACCCATAAACAGATTCCACTTACACTAAGTTTATGATTTAGAGTACTTTAAGGGCTTAGAATTAAAATCAAAATTGTTTGGCGTTTGTTCTAAGAATTTTGACATTTTGAAAGATTATTTTTCACGTGGACAAAATACCCAGATCTGAAATAAATTTCTGTGGGTCACGCAATTTGTTGTCCCGTGTGAGAATGGAACCCACGCAATATAAATAAACTTCAGTGACGACATCACAGTAAAAGTTAAGTAAAGTCGTGGCTGCAGCGTCTGGGCGCATAATCCGGAAGGCGCAGGTTAATTAATCTGCCAGCGAAAATTTTGAGACAGTTCTGTCTATACATTTTTAGGGTTCCATTCCCAAAGGATAAAACGGGACTCTATTACTGAGACTCCGCTGCCTGTCTGTCTATTTTCTGTCCCTCTGTCACCAGGCTGTATCGTATGAACCATAATAGTCAGACAGTTGAAATTTTCACAGAGGATGTATTTCTGTTGCCGCTATAACAACCAATACTTTTTTTAAATGTGAAACACGTAAGTATTATACTTCCTCTTTACGCCGGTCTTCTGTGAGATCGTGGTACTTACCCGGACGAGCCTGTCCAATCGTGCAACGAAGGCACCGCACCGAGGCTGCGTGGCCCTACCACTGTAAACAAACAAAATAAAGAAATATTTAAGTGGGGCTTAGTGGGGCCATACACAGACATGATTTTTTTGCCGTTTTTATAATTAATATTACGGAACCCTTCGTGCACGAGTCCGACTCGCACTTGGCTGGTTTTTTACTATATTCCCAATTTGCAAAACTGAGCATTTTGAATTTATTATTTACATCCAGAAGGCGGTTGTTTCAGACGCCTCGAGGTTACTCCCTACATTGTTGGCTTCCAGAAGGCGGTCATACACCGATAAGGTAAATAGTTTTAGCCCATTTATTTAAGAATAAGCGTTTCTTTGCTAAATTCTATTTCAAGAATACACCCACGTTTACATTGCTAACATGTAATGACAGATGCCACACACACACACGGGTCGTCCACACACTGCCCTAGGAGTCGGGCAGGTGCAGGTACGGGCATCGGGGAATCG